CTCAACCTCGGAAATTCGGAACCACACCCTACATTTTCATTTCAAGGTCTGAGACACTTACGCATGGCGAAAATCCGCTAGGCCAGAGGTGCTATGCCTTCTAAGCCAGAGATAAGAGCCATTAGAGTGAGTAGACGCAGTAGGGTGACAACGGCACAAAAGAAAAACAACGGACTCGACAAGATCTCTTGATGAAGGCTTTGATGAAAAAATACGTTATTCTTCACCAATTTAAAGTGAATTGATAACTTATGGTCATCGTTTACTTCGTTTGCTGAAGTCATTGAAAACATCTGGAGACTGTAGAATTCAGAACTAAAAAGCAAGAGTAGGTGACTGTATGGTTTACCTAGAAACGCCTCCGCTTTCACTGGTTTAACGCCTCATCGTGGCTGGAAGGTTTTGCTGGGTGTCGGGCAGCGATGAACAGCGGGGAGATTCATCCCTCGAGCAGAGTCATCCAAGCTGAGGAGACTGGTGTTTCCATCAGAAAGCCCAGCTAAAATTAAAACAGTGCCAGAAGCCTCCGCAGCCTTGCTATCAAACTATGTCGCATTGTGACAAGTTTGCCTCTGATCCACAAGGGCGGCGACCCCTGTGGTGGTGACGACCTGGGCAGATTTTGGGCGAACTCTCCTCGGCTCTCCAGAGAACCACAACCAGCAAATCTCCAGAGAATGGAGAATGTGTGCTTGGGTCCGCACAACCAGTGAAGATGGGCCATCCAAGCATCCAATTATGAAACGCTGCCAGAAAGCATGAATGGTTCTCATTGGCTCCATGAATGACATTCATCAAAGAAATTATGATCGTCGGAGCACACCTATGGCTTCAGCCTGCAGTACCAGAAAGGTGACTATCTAGTCAAAAGAATCGGATGTGCTTAAAAACTGTTCTGAAATCGTATGCATTTGGTAATTTATATGTTCCAGTATAATAAGGCAGCCTGGTCGGTGAAATTAGCAAAAGTAAACTCCTAGAGATATCTTTGTCCGAACTAAATGGAAGCTTCTCTTAAAGCTATCGCTTTCCTAAGTGAAAACCACCTACTTTAGAAGTTCACTTCCAGTCGAATCCTGAACGCTTTAAGAACTCACAACAAGGAGGCGTCAATTAAATTAGTTGCGGACTGCGCACGGTAAAAGGCGGTTAAGTTTCTGTTTTGAATTTCAGTTAAAAGTTATTTTCAGCTTCAGTTGATTTCAGTTGTTTCAGCTAGTTCCGGTTATTTCTGCGCCATTGTCTGACGTGTTTTGTTGTAAATGTGTGCCAATTATTACATACATTCACTGTTTTTCTTCGACAAGCAAAGACGATGTTGGTATTATAGAACTTATTAGCACGCAATAGCCGAGGTTTCGTCGGTTTCGCCTTCTTCTGAGCCAAGAAAGGTCGAATTGACGTACGATCTACTCAGCCAAACATTTTCGCAACCTTAGCAGGTAGGACTTAACGTATAAATTTCCATTCGCATAATAAATAGCTTCTTTTGCAAACCCACCCTTTTACTCTTGGCAAGTGTTCTTGTTAATTAGTGGAAAGCAGCCGCAAAGAGTAATAGTTGGGTGAGGTCCGTGCCTAGGTCACGTCATTGAATCGGCCTATGGTATGGCGCGAATTCACGCGTGATAAAAAGAGAGTCCTCCTTAAGGTTCATTTTTAGATTTTTGGAATTAATCCAAACCGCTTCAGGAGTTTTCGCGCTGATCTTTTGGATTACCGTGCTAGGATAGTGATTTCCGCTTTGAAATATCAGTTTTATCTCTATGTATTTTGCGCCTAGTGGAGTGTTCGGTTTTGATTTAGATTTACCGATTAGGTGTTCTCTTAATTGGACACAGAGTCGTCCACCCTCTTCGCCAATCTATTCGTCCCTACACACTTTACAATAGATTAGGTACACCGTACCCGAACTTTTGCAATCGCGATTTTTGCCGTTAGGGCAATGTATGCAGTTTTTCATTGTACACAGACGCTCACATAGGCGATTACGAACTAGCTGGGTAGTTTAGACTGTCCGGTGGTATTTCTTTCACTTTTGCCGTATTACCTAGACTGTCCCTTTTTAAGCAACACTTCATAGTTGCACTTATTTAGTTGGAAATATAGGGCATAATGAACGGGGCTTTATTCTCGCTAGAATTATCGGTTAGGGGCGCGGTTTCTCCTCTGCCTATCCCGAAAAGCTACAGTTTCGTAACCATTCGGAATGGCTAGTTAACGCGCCACTTTCGCCGATTCTTGCTTCTGCTCTCTACCTGTGCATACGCTGGTGGCGGTTCGAAACATATTCCTTACAAGCGCCTTTTTGGTATGTGAGGGGTATATGGTGAGTTACAAAAAATATGTTTCCAGCCGTGTGCACAGGTAGAGAGCAGAACGAAGAATCCTCGAAATTGACGCGCCAAATAGCCATACCGAATGGCAACGAAAGTCTGGTTTCTCGGCATAGACATAGTGGGAATAGGAGACCCCGAAACGATCATTCTAGCGAATACATAGCTCCGTTCACTTTGCATTTATTTCGAACGAAAGACATGCAACTAAAAACATTGCTTGAGAAGGGTAGGTCTAGAGATTTTGGTAAGAGTCAAGGAAATATCACCGGTCACTCTAACCCGCCAGATAGCTCGTAATCGCCTATATGACCATCTGTTTTCAACGAAAAGACTTTGCCCTAACGGCAGAGACGACAATTGCATGAGTTCTTGAAGCGTTTCGGATTAGATCCAAAAATCGAAAAATGAACCGCTAGGAGTGTCTTGTTATTACACGTGACCTCGCCCCATACCTCAGGCTGATTCAGTGACCTGACTCAGGCACCAAATAGAAACGATAGGTGTTTAAAAGAAGCAATTTATTATGCAAATGCAATTTTATATGTTAAGTCTTATCTGCTAAGGTTATGGAAGTTTGGCTGATTAGATCGCTTGTCAATTTGACCGTTTGAGACTCTGAAGAAGGCGAAACTGACGAAACGTCAGCTATTGTATCCTAATTAATTGTACCATATCAACCTCGTGTTTGCTTATCGAAGAAAAATGGTGAAATGTCAATCGATGTTGACGTTAAGAGAAAGTCGATCTTGAGAATTCTTACATACTTTCCTTCTATGGGAAGAAAACGTTCGTACGCCTTTGATATTTTGGTGTATTCCTTGGAATGGAGATTTGTTTTTAAGGATCTTCGATACCACTTCGTAGTGACAGCGATTTGTCGATCATTTGGTCAGTAGCAATGGCCAACTTGCCGGCGAGTAGTGGCATGAGGACTAAAACATATGTACGCTTTGTTACACTTATCAAGCTTTATTCGGCGTCATTTTACACGTTCAAAGTTTTTTCATTCTATGAATTGCGTGGTATCATTGATTAGAGCATGAGAGTAAAATAAATATGATTAGATGTAAGAAAAAGAAAAACGTAAAATCTAGATGAAAGTTTTCTCAGCAAGTAGTTATGGAGGTGCTTAGAAATGTCAGTTGGTGAGAGATCATCTAGTGTCTATGGTGAAGATGTTTCGCACACTGTCTTCAATTTTTGCGATGCTTCTAGTGCAATGTGTTACCGGTCTTGTTGTTTAACAGCGTTTGTCTTTTTCGAGGCTTAATTTGGAACCCCAGTTTTCAGTTGCTGGCGCGTTTTTCGATTTCCTTGCTGTAGTTATTTCGCCAGGGTTAACAAAGTCGAAGTGCAGTTTTTACTCAGGGTTCACAAAGTAGAAGGGAAATTATTTTACCCACGGTTCACAAAGTCGAAGTGAAGTTTTTAACCAAGGTTCACAAAGCAAAAATAAAGTTTCGTGCTATATTACGTGCACAAGATGTACGTATGATCTTCAGTCTGCCACTACAGCTGCTTCCGGAGCTGTTTCGGTGCTTCAGCTGGGTTAGAGACTCATCAGTTATCATGCAGAACCTAGTTTTTTAGCCCATTTCTTGTAACCACTAAAGGTGAAGTTTTTGCTGCCTGACTAAATTGCACAAAAAGTTTCCTAAGGGAGACGTTTTTCATTCTGAGTTCGGTTTAGGTGCTACGACTCGAAAAAAACGAAATAATTTTAATTTTAACTTACTATTTACTGCCTACTCCTTTTAACGGCAGGGTATACATTGCGAAATATAACTTCAATGATGCTGAGATATTTGCAAAACTCCGGACCGGAGGTGTATGCGTTGGGGAACGAACGCGCTGTTGTCCTTTCCGGGGAGTAGCGCGTTCAGCACCACACCACGCGGGTCTTTCGTTTCACCTTTCGCGGGTCCCGCATACACCTGCGGTCCGGAGTTTTGCAAGTATCTCAGCATCATTGAAGTTATATTTCGCAATGTATACCCATCCGTTAAAAAGAGTAGGCAGTAAATAATAAGTTAAAGTTGTGATTATAACTGTGGCCTCAGCTTAACTGGGTTCGTTTCCGATTTAATCGTTGCCGCTACTCCCCGGAAAGGGCGACAGCATGTTCGTTCCCCAACGCATACACCTCCACCTCCGGTCCGGAGTTTTGCAAATACCTCAGCATCATTGAAGAAACAATTTTACTTCTTCCCCATAGATTTTCTTCAAAAGTGGTTCTTTGAATTACCATTATTCATGATAACGGGTCATCTTTGGTCATCCCAAGCTTCGAAACTCAAATGTCTGTCACAATTCCTAATGAAAAGTATGCTGTAAGATTGTCAGCGGTTATCTGCTCACGCGCAATGTTAGTATTGATAGCCGTTCCTACGGCTTCTATCCACATTTCATTTCTAGCGTAAAGTTACGCTAAATTGTTTTTTCCGGTTTCTGTCTTGGTAATGGAAGTTCAGTAGAAACTTGCGCAAAAAATAAGCAAAAAGTCTGGTTTCGCGACTTCTTAGCTTTAAGTTGCCACATGCAGTTTGAATATGAAAGTCATATACTTGTTCTAGAGCAACCTATCGTACTTTAAGATGACAGGGCCAGAGAAATACAACTCAGTTTCACGATCTCGTCTGTATTAAGGCTCAACTTGGCGAGATGGCTGCTGAAGCAGCGATCTCGGCTCTAAAGGATCCTTGCGTGGATTGGGACGTCCTAGCGGAAGATGAAGTGTCTATGATTACACGAAGATGTGAAGAGTTGCTAAAGTGAGCTATTCTTATAGCAACATCGTTTTTCTAGTGATAATAGTTCTAAGGTGCTTGGCATCTCCGATTTCACTTCACAATCACAGCAAAGAACTTTTCGCGGTCGAAAGTGCTTGTTTCAGTTGGTTTACTTTCGTGGACGCAAAAAACCTGACTAATTTGGATTTGTTTATTGACAAAGATTATCTGCAAAAGGTGAGAATCAGTGGGCTAAAAGAGCAGAAAACATAGAGTTGTATTCCATTATAATTGTCTTTCTAGGTCCAAACCGCACGATGTTTTGATCATCGTGTTATGAAAGACATCGCTGACCGGTTCGACGAAGAAGGAAATGTTAACTTTGGGAGCGAATTTAATATGACTGAAGAACAATTGGTTCTTACCATACTTTGTGGTATCATTGAAAGTCTGTGGTTGTTGCAAACGCTCTCGTTCTTTTATTAAATGATTTTTTGAGTCGTAACATTTTGTTTTCAGAAAGAAACAGACGCAACTGTAAGTTCGAAGTGCTATGCGAAGCTCTACAGCTTGAAAAGAGCAGTTACTACTCAGTAAAGGCGTTTCTAAATAGCGGTCGTGATGAGGAACGAATGCCTAGACATTTGGTTGTGGTAAGCCGTTCTAAATTTCTGTATTTTTTGTCGTTAAGGATCAGTTTTTATTTGGTATTGTGTCTTTACAGAAAACATTGTGCAACCCTATAGATTGCTGTCTGGTTCTCACCATGGCTTACTCTGAAGTGAGTCAATCGAGTTGTGTGCTTTCTTCGTTTCTTTTCTAAGACTTCACTCTCTCCGACGCAACACTATTTTAAGAAGAAAAGAATGCTTGATAGCTCAACTCAACAATCAAGAATTTAGTTTTAATTCCGTCGTGTTTCTTGAAGTTTGTACTTTCAGTTGAAACGGTTAGAAAGTCCTTTTGAACTCGCAGTTATATTTTAAGTTTTGTAGAAATGGCGAAGTTGTTGTTTTTCCCACTTGCCAAGACCATAATTTTTCCGGGTTAAGAGCTTTAGGTGTACATTCAGTTGCTAACAACTTCTTACGGTTATGGTCATATGAAACTCTATCAGCTGATTTACTTGCTTTATTGCACTACACATGTCAGGTTAGTTGCTGGCCATTTTCTTGTGACTGGAGTGCAATCCACTATGCAAGCCTTGTTTGGGTGGACAAAGCAATGCTCGACTTTGATATACTCGCTCATGAAGAGGCGCTTCGACGGCGGCGGTCTACGGAGACTTTTCCGATGAATCCTGCATGTTCAGGAAATCGACCATTTGAGGCGATGGGGTAGGCATCGATTGCTTATTTTTTTTTCGTTATGTAAGAAATATTTCCGCTGTCTTCTGTTAGACATATTGTCGTAGCTCACAGCATCCATGATGTCGTACATCTAAATCCTTATGTGTTTAACTGCTGAGTTTTACGACACGTCATGTAAAGACGATCAATAAACAAGTTTCTTATATGTGAGAGATTCCTCTTCCATATCGTTCTTTCTCGCTTTGCATCTTTTACTCCACGCCTTTGTGTGATTCCTGGCATTTATACCATTCCAACAATATTGCTTATCCTTCATTTTCTGCGTATTTTTAATAGTAAGGTATTTTGTGGGATGCAACCATAATGATGCTGCGATATTTTGTAAAACTGAGAACCTCATGTGAGTGTTGAACCTACGACAGCACCACCAAGTGCCTTGCTTTGCGTATCTCTCAGTTTCTCACACTAACGCTACCCTCAACAATCTCGTGAGCGGGAGTGATCTGGGAATCACTAATTAGAGTTGAACCGAGTTAAGCTGAATCTGCAGTAGAGATCACAGTGTTTAATATCCACCTACTATGTGTCGTGGAAGCTTCATGGTTGCAGCAGAATGTAGTAAATATTAGATTATGGTTTTTTAAATTATAACATTGCATTTTGCCATACATTCTGTGCATTTTTTGAATTTCTTTCCTCTTGTGAATACAGTGCAACATCCGTCCGGAGTAATACATATTCAGACAATGTGTCGTCAAGCGGAATGAGTTAGAAGCTCTTTGCGAAGAAATGGACAGGATCAATGAAGGCTTCCTGGAGCTTCTTAGAGCTGCATGTAGAATTTCTTTGGTGAGGTTAACCAAATATTTTTAACATTTACAGCCTAACCTGCGCTAACATCAATTCATATCGTCCCAAAAGAACGACCGCTTTCAACTTTAAATAAACTGGCCTCTGCTGAAAGTAAACATCCTTGAATGCAATAAAACAGATGAGAAACTGCAAATTTTTGCCTGTGGGACGAAAGTTTGGTCCTTCTTTTCTGGAGACCTCTAAACGTGTTTTTCAAAGCTCGTATTTCAAAAATGACAGCAATTGAACGAGTAGTGTTTCGTTCATGCGAACGCCATGACGTCACCAAATGCGTTGTTGGTCTTCATGTCTGCTGGAGTTTCAGCTGGATTTCTAAAATTTTGAATTTGGCGTTTCTTTCCTTTGGAGATTTTACTTTTGAACGGCTTTAAGAGTAAAGTATCGCTTTTAGTGGACCATAAGTACTCTTAATTATCTAGAGGAAATTCTCCTTTACACGCCAACCACATTTTTAACGCAGCAAATATTCAAGTCATCGAGGAATTATTGATAGTTTACGAGAAAAATCTTTATACTCTAGATGTTAAACAATATTTTTGAGCCTTTATGGAGCCTTTCGATTTGTTTTGTATGTATTAAAATATGCAGATTATACTTTAGGCGGAAAAGCGTTCCACGTTGTGCCCCGACAAGAGCACTGTCCCACCCCAAAGGTGTGTTTGCCTCGGTTTTGTCAGATTCCCGAAGAGATTATTTTGACCAGTAAAGAAGTTATGGCTAAGCTTTGAATTTGTTCCTCTTTTTCCACTCTAAGTGTTTTTTGGACTTGATTTCTCTTCAGAGCTAGAGAAGTGATATCACCTGTGGTACCGACCAGCCCTAAGTACAAATTAAGGAGTGCTGCGGAAATGTTGGACGTCTTGCAGAGGCTCCACGTGGCTTTCGCGCATTGTGCTCCCTCCGATTTGTGCGTTTTGTTCTGACACCACTTTTATTTCGGTGATTTCAACCAAGTTTTTTTCCAACGCGTAACTTTGGTCATGAACAGGCCGTGATTGAAAATATTTGAGTGTATTTTAGGTGCCTTCTTTTCAAAAAACAATTCGTTTATCATGGATTGTCTGCGGCTGCACGCAAAGTGTACTCGAAGTGCTGGTATTGCAAGTCGGAAGATCGAGAAAAGCACTCGCCACCTAGAGGTTGTCTAACATTATTTCGAAGATTAGAATTGCTGTTTGTTACTGTAATTGTAAGAAAGATTGTTCAAAATTCCTCCATGTGGGGCGTTCCAATAATTGTGCTCCATGCAGCAGGGAGACAAACTCTGGAAAGTGGCCTTTGCTTCCCACTGCTACCAGTGACTATAGTTTCGAACTATCGTTTGTTAGGGGCTACTCTCCAATGTATGCTTCTTAGATGAGTGGTTACAGAGGAGGTTAAAATGGAAAGGTAGCTCAGGAGGGTTCAAAGTTTTCTCAGTCGACGCTAAAGCTATTCACGTTTACGGTGAGTTTTTTTATTAGTCGTCACGTGTAGCGTCTCCTGAATTTTCAACACTTATGATGCGCACGAAACTTAATGCGCGTGGTTGGGAATATACTCGGAGCAGGAACGTCTTATTGCTTCCGTCATTATCAATATTTTTTTTATTTCGTGCAAAAAGCAAGGGATTCTTGCTTGGTAGTGCTCATGTATTTTTGCAGAACAGTCTGGAGACAGTTTCAATAACTTTAGTTTGGCATAGTTTCTATATCACCTTGTCGACATAGAAAGCAGGTCCTGTGACTCTTGGAGAAAGCCAATCCAGTGACGAAACTTTCAGCTTAGTAGTTAGAGGTGCTCCACAATGGACACGAATTTGGTTTGAATGTGCGCCCTGTCCTTGCCAAGCGTTCCGTCCTTTCGAAGTCAGCAAATTGCAGCTGCACTTGTCTCGGAATGAAGCAATGATGTATTTGACATATTTTTTATATGGTCTTATAAACTGATCTTGTTGAGCTGATGCGAGGTTGGCACAGGTTTTCGTTGTCGTTGTTATTGGTGTTGTTGGTTGACGGCTGACGTTCTGGTGATTTCGTCTTCCTCAGAGCTGTCCTGTAACGAGTGGG